TTGCATTACATAAAAATAATATTAAATGCGTAATCAAAGCACGACCTCCAGGATCTGTAGTCTTTTTGTAGTAATGGTATTTAAACCTGGCTTACAAATTCTGAAATTCCTCATTTTTTCTCTACTTTTTCTTGATATTTAGTCAAAATAGAAGAAATGCTCGAATAGGCTGTACGGTTAAAGTGCAAAATCAGTATGTTAAAAGAAAAAAATGGCAAGTTTACTGTATTAGTAAAAAATAAAAGACATTTTCTTGACAACTGGCATCTTATCTATCTAATTATTCTTCCTAGAAAACTATAGTGAAAATTGCGAATTTGGAAGTATGAATAATATTGCTGCCTGCTTCATAGCTCCGCTCTATACTAAGAAATGTTCTTTGAGTAACTCGTTGTGACCGGGTTCGCCTGTTCTTTAGAACGTCCGCTAACAGCCACTGGAATGGCTCCGTATGAAGGTACAGAAAAAAATTAGGCGAACCTAGGATGATTTGGGGGCTACCTATGAGTAGAAAATTCGTGAAAAAGTTGACGTCTCAGAAAGACGGTTATAGGTTCAGATCAAAAAAAGCCTTTTTGGAATAGAATTTTCCAGCATCAAGTGGTTTTTAGGTGCCTTTCTCACCAACTGATTTTTTGAAGGTTTAGAACCGTCAGCATCAAATTTACCAAATCTCTTATATAAAACTCCCAATAACCGTTACTAATAGCTAATCCTTTTTTAATTCTTCAGACTGATAGTATGACTCTTATCTGACACTTTAGAGTCACCAATAAATTTTAAAAAAGTTTTCTTATTTTGTCAAATTTTGTTCGAATAAAACGTTTTGGGAAGTAATTAGAAGGTAATTTTGAAGATAAAGATACTAATTAATGTACGAATTATACGTAAAAACGACCAAACACAAAGGAATATACAGATTTTTTTCTGCTTAGCTACGCAGTCAATTTTTGGTAGCGGGTCAATACTAAGGCAGCGGAATGTCTTTATTTTCTTTTTTTTACTTTTTTTGGTAGTATTTTATTTTATTTTATTCTTTTTTTTGCGTATTGTAAAAATATCCAACTCCACCTGTTTCCTCTTGATAAGTTCAAAAGAACGCGTGAGGGGTCAAATAGCTCATCGCTAGTCGTCTTGAAAAACAAGTTTAACGAGCCCATTGCTATCCACCCAAAAATGTTGTTACGCAAAAAATGAGATTCCTTTCGAAAAGAAAAAGGAAAAAGAAGAATAAAAATAAAAAAAATTTTCTGTAATCTTTTTTTTTACTTTCCCGTTCACTCTAAAGCTAAAAGATTTTCGTCTACAGCTGTAGAGCATTTTTAAATACAAAAAGTTTTTGGTATCTGTTTTCTGTAAAAATGTTTCAATTTTTGTACTCATTGCCTGTGATTTTTTGTCACTGTTTACTTAAGAGTTGTATAAATTGTAATTACCTAAATAATCTTATTAGAAGGTGCGCTAGACAGCTACGGAAACGGCATCAGCAAGCCACTGAAGTAGTATCTGTCACAGATGTTTAACAGCGAATAGCCAAGGGCTTAGAGAGCTACCAGGTTCTCCGAACTAT